AGGGATAGTAGAGACAGGGGGTGCGCTGGTCTGGTCCTTGGCCTCTACAACACCCTGGGGTTTTTCAAAAAGAAAAAAAGAAAAAAGAAATAATGATGGGTTACTTTGTGTGGTGAAATTGGGCCACGCTAAGCAGCCTCTTGTACCACCACAAAAAAAGAAAGAAACACCTTTCTGAAGAGTAGTGAAATTGGGCTCCACGCTAAACAGCCTCTTGTACCCCCCCCCTGGTTTCCCCAACAAAAAAAAAAAAAAAACAGAGGAAAAACAAACGCCCTTTCCTCTACCCACTGCTGTGCAACAGCAACGATAGAAAAGAAAAGGTGAAAAAGTTCAAAAAAAAAAAAGAAAAAGGTGTTTTTTCAACTTTTGTAATACCTTTTTTCTTTTTTTTTCTTTTTTCCCCCCCCTTTGTTCTCCCTTGAACTCTTGCCATTTTATTAAAACCCCCCCTTGGGTAAGGACCGTCGTCTTCACCCGCCCGAACAGAACGTACAGTCGTTGTCGCCGTATCTAGACTGAAAGTCGCCCCAAATACGGCTATAATGACCAACCATGCATGCTATTTTGGGGCAGAGAAGGTAACTTCCCGACAACCTTGGGGTCGAACTCGATTTGGTTGTGCTCATGCCATCCATGCCCCCTCCACAGCCTTGGCGGGTCTACTAGAGGGTATCACCCCCTCTAGTAGACAGGCACATACACCCTTGGCGGTCTACTAGAGGGTATCACCCCACCCCCTCTAGTAGACAGCCACATACACCCTTCCTAATACCCCCCTTATGTATCTACCTGCTCTTCCATGGATGACAGACCATGGATATGGATTGAATGTGTGGCCGATGCACTGTCTATTATGTAGAATGTGGGGCCAATACACAGAGCGGATAAAGCAGCATCCAGATCGCTGTGCATGGTCGGTTTTTTTCCTTCTTTTTTTTTTCGATAAGTAGGCCCCAGCGTCGAAGGCACGCTTTCCTAAACAGGACTAGAAACATGTGGGGCCCATGTAGCTGCGCTCGTATACTGAAAATGGTCGGAATGGTGTGGGGCCATGTCGCCTGCGTGGAGGGGGAGGCGTTCATCTCACGTCTATGGTTGAAGAGATGTGCAAAAACTGAGTTTTTTTCAACTTTTTTTGTCTGTTCTTCGAAGATTTCTTAACAACAGAGCGCCACGGGGACCACCTGGGGGAGCGGTCCCACTTTTGTGTCAATCAAGAGATGTTGACGGTCGATCCGTCTTATCTACGACCAGTATTTCCCCCTTTAAAAAAAAAAATAATAAAAAAATAAAAAAAAATTGGAGAACCAAATATATAACCTTTTATTACAAGCAACCAAAGGAATCGGGGCCGGGAACCCCCACAAAATCCTGAGATATGCTCAGAGAACTCCCAGCTTGAAAACAGAGCGCCACTGGGACCAGGTCCAGTGTCCCAAAAATTCCAAAATAGAAAAAAAGTTCCCCAAAAATTCCAAAATAGAAAAAAGCCTAAAAAGGGTAACACCAGGCACCACTCAATTTTGATTTCTGCCCCACCAA